GGGGGGGGGGGTGGATTTCTATGGCCTGTGATATACAGGAAGTCAAACAAGATGATCACAATGGTCCCTTCTGGGCTAGGGATCTATGAATCACAAAGAGAGAGAGACACACACACCCCCCAGCAGCCTATTTACTGTGCCTGGACACCCCACCCCATTCAGAGCTCCCGCAGGGAGCCTCTTTACCCCACTTGGAGAGACCCCCCCATCCTATCCAGAAAGACACCCCTGTACACACACTCCCTCTCAGAGACATGCCCCTCTTGGACCTTCCTGTGAACCCCCCTTCTGTGCCCCTGTAGTATCCACTGCAGACAGGACCCCCCTTTCCACCACCATCTGACACTCCCTCTACCTCCTAAATCCCCTCTCTGGCAGACCCCAATTTCCCTTCCAGATAGTCCTTCCCAGACAGAGCCTTCCAGCCCTAGACAGTCCACACCTAGCCACCCACCCAGCCATTCTCTGGAGTATCTGAATGGAATTAGCTTTTACAGCCTATATCTTTTTTTGGCACAAATAGATACACAGAGCTTCTATATCCAGAACATTATGTACATAGTAGTCCCCTTTCTTACCAAAGCATGGTAATCTGAAGCTACTGCTGTGGAACCAAATTGATTTAATCACTGTTGCATGTATGGTTTAATATTCATGTCCCTCATCCTCAATCCTGTCTCTGTTTCTAAAGATTAACAATTTCTCACCCTAATTTTTTCCCCTTCAGGACATTTCCCATTTGTTGACTAGCGTCTTTAAGAGCACGTATACTGCAGATGTTATAGGGATGGACACTGGAACAAATCTGATCAAGTCCCGTGGAGGAGACAATCTCTATCATGAGAAGTTTGTGGAGGAGCTACAAAAGGTAAAGCAAATAAACAAAAAACAGATTAGAGGCAATTTTCAGAGCTGTTCTGAGATTTAGCAAAATGTTTGTCAATGTTAATTCAGACCTCCCAGGAATTTTTTTCTCAATGGTTTCCTAGAATCGCAAAGACATTTTCATGAGCAATTTGAATGTTAGTGGCAAACATCCTTCTTGAGACCAAATTTGCTCATAGAGCCTCTCATCTCAATATGTATTAGGCACCTGATGCTCCTAACTGTTGTTCTGGGAGTTTTTTCAGATGTGAAGTAAAAAACAATTATCTTTAAAGTTCCTAAAGCACAACCTGCTTTTACCCTACATTCTCCCTGCAGTTTCAAGTGGATGTGATAGTCTTCTTACTGGCCTTCAATAAATTGTTGTGTAGTATTGCTGTGTGCTCTTAAGGAGCTGCTAAATGGAGTGAAGTCATCCTTATATAACCATTTCCTACCTCACTGGTGGGTTGTGATACATAATTCATTAATGTTTGCAAAGTGCTTTTGAGACAAAAATGATGAAAAAAGCTATAGAAGTGCAAAGTATTTTTTAATCATATTGCTTCAGTAGGTGCTGAACAAGGATAGGAGACGAGATCACTCTTAAAACGAACAGATATTCTGATTTTGGCAACAGATCTTAATTTTGTAGACACCATCTATCTCTTTGTACTATTCACAGACTCGTATATCACTTGTGCCTCCCCATATTGAGGGGGCACAAATCTAAACGGAAAGACACATGACTGCACCATGTGTCTCCCCTGCTCAGTGCTTCCCCTACCCACCCCCCGCCAGCCCTGTGCCCAGCCAGCGACCTCTGCACTCTCCCCGCCCCACCAACGTTGCCTGCACGGGGGGCTCTGTCCTTCTTCTGAAGTGCCTACCCCCCCTCCCTGGCACATTTGGCCGCTGTCCCTGGCAGCCGGCCCCAGGCGGGGAGCGGGACGGAGCCATTTCTCACGCAGCTGAAGCTGGCTACTGAGGGTCGCTGACTCTGTGCAGTGCAGCAGCTGCCTGAGAGAGCCTGTCTGGGGAGATGGTGGTGGCAGTGGGCTGCCCTCCACCTGGACCCGGCTGCAGGGGAGAGGGGCTGAGTGAGCCAGAAATGTGCCTGGGGGGAGAGGGGATTCTGGCTCACTCTGCCCCTGTCCCCAGCAGCCGGGCCCGGCTGGGGGGCAGCCTGCCGCCTCCCCAGCCAGGCTCTCTCAGGCAGCTACCGTGCCTCACAGAGCAATGACCCTGAGCGGCTGGCATGAGAAGTGGCTGGTTCCGCCCCTTCTGCTCCCCGCCCAGGCCCAGCTACAGGGTCAGAGGCTGAGCGTGCCAGGGGACAGGGCAGCGGGAGAAGGATAGAGCCCCTCTCCTTCCTCACGCTGGCAGCCCACGCAGAAATCTGGAGTGGCACTTGACCCTGCATACCCCCCAACGCGTCGCCTATGCACAGACTGCAAGACAGACAAGCATGAATTTCAGATTCTATATTTTTCTCCTTAATTGAGTTTCTTCAGAAGGTACCGATGCAGTCTGCTTTTTCTTGACAATATCTGAGTAGTATGTTTGGATGATCTCTCCTCAAACATTGACATCTTGTCTTTTAAAATAAGATGCTTCCCAAAAGAAGTAGTTAGCATTAAGATAAACCATGCTATAAGAAAATTATTTTGATTTTCGTTTAAAGTGGGTGGTGCTCTATCCATCTGAGGAACTGGTACAATATGTGCTGTATATTCAGTGCAAATCAGAGCTTTACAAAGTCCACTTTCCAGCTTGCTATTGGAGAACAGAAAACTTACAAGTTAGAGGTGGGTGAAACTGAGCCATCAACTCAGTTTCAACAGCAGATTTTAAGCTTTCAGGTTTTGAAGGGTTTTTAAAAGTTGTTTTTAGTCCTACATCTGAACAGATGTGCAGTCTTTCTGAGTCTGCAGACAGGTAATCTTAGAACTTCTCTTGTTGGAGTAGCTGTGGAGTGAAATCAACAAAACACACAATGACTAAAATATCTACTAACAATATTTATAAACAAAGATGCAGCAATTAGTAATAACTGATACTTACAAATACAAACCAACGCATAACGACCGGCAAACGTAGAAACTCTGTTTGAAACACGTGAGCTGAGAGAGAGGCTTCGAGGTGATCAGGCTCGGTTACGGGTGTACACAGGATACACAGGATTCGTTTTTCTTTCTCCTCTCCCTGCCTCCACATGGCAGGCAGGCCCAAAAAGTACCAACTATGACATCATAGAAGTGTCATAGGGGACGGGGCCCAAAACCTGTTTGTGTTCGTTTCTGATTGGCACAAGCAAAGTTTACACCAAGTAGGGTAACAGGTGCCTCAAAGTCTGGCTTCGCCCCCAAAAGGTGAGGAAATGCATATTGCTTTAGAATGCGTGCAACACTGAATGACAAAAGAAGAGGCCAGGGCAATACCGGTATGGGCAAGTTTTACAGGATGCAGACAGGAACTCATCTCAACAGTTTTTAGTCCTACATCTGAACAGATGTGCAGTCTTTCTGAGTCTGCAGACAGGTAATCTTAGAACTTCTCTTGTTGGAGTAGCTGTGGAGTGAAATCAACAAGACTTTGGTCGTTTTCACAGCTGATATTGAAAACCGGTAGAAAAAAAATTGATGATAAATGCAATTTTGTTGAAACTGAAATTTTCTCAGATCCAGAATGGAATTGGGGCATCAGGGAAGAGGGACAGAGAGAGAGACAAGAATAGTCAATAGCCTGCTCTTTAGGACACTCATCTGGGATGTGGAAGACTTGGTTCAAATCTCTGCTCTGAATCAGTGAATTAAAAAGCTTTCTAGTAACTAGGGGAGAGAGAACACTTTAAATTTAATCATATACCTGATATAGTAACTGGAACACAAGCAGGGTCCAAGCATAGCACCTTCCCTCTTTCCAGTAGCAGGGGCTGAAGGTCAGACTTCTCAGTAGGGTATTGCCCCTGGAATTCATTGGTAATTCCTTTCATCATATCTGCCTCTGGTTATAAAGTTTAGTGATCTGACTGATAGGCATCTGGTAAATGTTTCAAGCCCCACCACAAGTTAATTGTTAGAAAATAATGCATTCTATTCTGAGAGTTTATTCTTGTAAAGCAAAAACATTCTAGCAAGCCTTCAGAAAGAAATAGAAAACATTAATTTTTCTATTACATGTACTGACATTATTAATAATTTGTGATAGCTAAAAATATATTTATTTATTTACATTCACCAATCTACATGCCAGATTCATACTGAATATAACCATCGACTGACAGAAGTTGACATGGTAGAAAAGCACATCATTCAGGCAAGAGCTCGAGCAACAGCAGCAGAAGAAAGGGCTCTGAACATGTTGAAGGTAGATGTTGGGGAGGACTTCCACAACATTGGATTGCCACCAGGTGAGGTTTCTGGGAATGTTACCTATCCCAGTACACATTTATGGGATCTGGAGCCAAATTCAATGCTCATTTAAGTTAATGGAAAGACTCCCATTGACTTCAGTGAACTTTTGATCATGGCCTTTATGAATGCCATGGTTTAATACCACTTATACTAAAAAAGCAGCTTTGAGAAACTGCAAGGAGAGAATCAAAAAGAAAAAAATTAACCTTACATAATAAGAAACTAATTGGGCAGGTCATTTTCAATGCCTGAAACCTGCCATTAATGGTTCTATACCTTAACTTTATTGCAAGCATATATAAACAGATGTACAAAAATCATTAATACAAATGTCTTCACAATTGCCCTGTTGATAAGTGTTATTACAGGCAGGGAAACTGACACAGAGATTCACCCAGAGCCACGAATCAGAACTGAATTTAGAACTCTGGGGTTGTTTGATTCAAGTTCTGTGCTCAGTTTACAGACCACATTTCTCTCCAAAATACTTCATTGTAGTGATGTGAAGGAGAGACAACAGAAATGTGGACTGACCATTGTTAGTGTATCTTAAAACACCAATCTTTTGTTTGTTTTTGTTTTTTTTAATATTGTAGTGAAGTCCTCCTTCAGGTGGTGTGTGGATAATGACCTTCTCAAAAAACATAATTTAATCTGCCCTGAAGATTACATCACTGATAGAATACCCATTACCAAAGCACCTAAAGGTAACTTTTAAAGCAGAGACTAATATGGATTTCTGATAATGCTCTCTAGGACATGAAGAATTAGACGTGGATAGCCTGTGCATAATGTTCTGTACTTCTGCCTAATGAGCAGAAACACGAAGGGCTTTACCATATGAACACTTAGTTCGTGGCAAGCTGGGGTGTATATCTACTGTGCTGTAACCTGCTGTGCACTAAGTGTCCATGTAGAACATATTGCTGTGCGCTAATAGTTCTCTAGTGCACTTTAATGTACCCTGCTTTGAAATGGGAATAGCTTAAAGAGGACGATGGAACGTTTAGCCTATGGCAGCCAGGTCCACGTAGACATTTTGTGTGCTGCAGGCTAGTGTGAGGTAGATTTTCACCCAGCTTGTTGTGAACTAAGTGTTTATATAGACAAGCCCTAACATTTAAAGTACTAAGAATTAGCTTAAAGGACACAGTCAAGATATTACATTTGTAATATATTACAAAAAATCTCCTTTCTGTGTAACTAATACATTATTAAAACTGCAATTTGTTTTAAATATCAAATTTACTTTTCATAACCAATGCTGTTTGTTTAGTTTTTTCAGCTCTGTCACTTTAGACACTGAATCGGTGGTGGTCAGTTTCACCCTGTGGTTCTTCTGCACTAGCTAATGCAGCAGAATTTATGTGATAAACAAAGCAGAGAAATAAATACATTATTTAAATGAAAACAGTTTTTATTTTAAAAATGTGTTCTGATTAATCTCTGTGCCTTTGTTTTAGAGCTGATCAAAAATTTTCTAACAATGTTTTTCCATCTAAAATGCTGATTTGATTAAATTGAAATGTGTATGGGAACATATTAATTTTGTCTGAAATTTTTATGGGAAAGTATCACAACTTTTTTGATAATGTCAAAATATTTAGTTTTTACTTTATCAAAACTTTTTTTCAATAAGTTGAAATGTTCCACTTTGATTTTATCGTTTTGACATATATAAACAAAACATTTCAATACATTTCATTTTGCAAAAAAATGCGTGGTTTCTACTTTTTGTCCAAATTAGGGATGATATGAAATTTCAGATCTTGGAATTTCATCAGTATGAGAATTCCATTTTTTTATCAACTCTGTTTAGCCATTTGTAAAGTAGAGATAGTAACTTATCTACCTCAGAGGGGAGTTATAAGGCTTAATTAACTGTTTTTAAAGCACTTTGAGATCCTCAAATAAAAGATGTTAAAGAAGTTAAATGCAGTGTTGTTGTAACTGTATTGGTCCCAGGGTATTAGAGAGACAAGGTAGGTGAGGTTATTTATTTATTTATTATATTTTGATCATTGTAAGTTTGTCCTAAATGTTATCAGTATGATTTGTGATTGAAACAGATTAACCTACTTGAACAAAATAAACTGTAAATATGGGTGAAACACTAGAGCAGTTAAATATTTAGTTGTTTTGCTAACTCCAAGACCAGTCTTGTATTATTAATAATTAGGGCTGTCAAGCAATTAAAAAAATTAATCACGATTAGTAGCGCGATTAATCGCACTGTTAAACAATAATTGAATACTATTTATTTAAATATTTTTGGATGTTTTCTACATTTTCAAATATATTGATTTCAATTACAACACAGAATACCAAGTGTACAGTGCTCACTTTATATTTATTTTTGATTACAAGTATTTGAAATATAAAAAAAAAATAGTATTCAGTTCACCTAATACAAGTATTGTAGTCCAATCTCATTATCATGAAAGTTGAACTTACAAATGTAGAATTATGTACAAAAAAACTGCGTTCAAAAATAAAACAATGTAAAATTTTAGAGCCTGCAAGTCCACTCAGTCCTACTTCTTGTTCAGCCAATCGCTTCTGACAAACAAGTTTGTTTACGTTTGCAGGAGATATAATGCTGCCCGCTTCTTGTTTACATTGTCACCTGAAAGTGAGAACAGGCGTTCTTGTGGCACTGTTGTAGCCAGGGTAACAAGATATTTACATGCCAGTTGCACTAAAGATTCATATGTCCCTTCATGCTTCAGCCACCATTCCAGGGGATATGCATCCATGCTGATGATGGGATCTGCTCGATAACAATCCAAAGCAGTGCGGACCCACGCATGCTCATTTTCATTAAGTAAGTCAGATGCCACCAGCAGAAAGCTGATTTTCTTTTTTGGTGGTTCGGGTTCTGTAGTTTCCGCATCAGAGTGTTGCTCTTTTAAGACTTCTGAAAGCATGCTGCACACTTTATCCCGCTCAGATTTTGGAAGGCACTTGGATTCTTAAACCTTGGGTCGAGTGCTGTGGCTAATCTCACATTGGTTCCTTCTTTGTGTTTTGTCAAATCTGCAGTGAAAGTGTTCTTAAAACAAACAACATGTGCTGGGTCATCATCTGAGACTGCTATAACATGAAATATATGGCAGAATGTGGGTAAAACAGAGCAGGGGACATACAATTCTCCCCCAAAAAGTTCAGTCACAAATTTAATTAACACATTATTTTTTTAACAAGTGTCATCAGCATGGAAGCATGTCCTCTGGAATGGTGGCCGAAGCATGAAGGGGCATACGAATGTTTAGCATATCCGGTGCGTAAATATCTTGCAATGCCGGCTACAAAAATGCCATGCAAATGCCTGTTCTCACTTTCTGGTGACGTAAATAAGAAGCAGGCAGCATTATGTCCCGTAAATGTAAACAAACTTGTTTGTCTTAGCGATTGGCTGAACAAGAAGTAGGACTGAGTGGACTTGCAGTCTCTAAAGTTTTACATTGTTTTGTTTTTGAGTGCAGTTATGTAACAAAAAAAATGTACATTTGTAAGTTGCACTTTCACAATAAAGAGGCTGCACTACAGTCCTTGTATGAGGTGAACTGAAAAATACTATTTCTTTTGTTTATCATTTTTACAATGAAAATATTTGTTGTAAAAATAATATACACTTTGATTTCAATTACAACACAGGATAGAATGTATATGAAAATGTAGAAAAATACCCAAAATATTTAAAAAACAATAGAATACCAATTTAAATGTAACAATTTGATTAAAACTGCGATTAATCGCGGTTAATTTTTTCGAGTTAATTGCGTGAGTTAACGGCAATTAATCGACAGCCCTATTAATAATGTTTCTCTGCTTACAGTAAGCTTCTAAAATAAATACTTTTCTCCCTATTGCTCAGAAAATGTCAATACTTTTCTTTGAACTGCAGGAAATAAAGAGCCTGACTATATCAAGGAGACGTTTAGTTTTAAACAACACATTTCTACAAGTCCAAGGGATCAGAAACATACAGAAATCCCACACTTGAGGAAAACATTAGATAGTCTGCCAGATGTATCTTTATCCACCTTAACGCTGTCTTCAACTCCTGAGCCTAGACATCAGACTAAGAAACCATCAAGTAAGGTATATTTCAGAGACGCACTCTTTTTAGCCTGTCAAACAGTTTAGGACTTATTGCTATCCCTGTAGAAAGAGGCAAGTCCTAGCACTTTGTTATTTTAGTGTAAGTAGTTGCTTTCCATGTTGGAGAAGAGAAAAATACAGTAGTTTGCTGAGGGTGAAATTCTTTATTGATACATAAAGCCTAAGTAATCAGGAATAGGTATTTTATATAACCCCTCCACTCCCCCAAAGCTGCTGTATTTGACACTGAATTTTGCATCACATTCTCTGTTTGTTTCAAAGAAATCTAGCTCCTCTCACAAATCAGTCTGGAAAGATAATATGTACAAAGCGGATAGAGAACAAGACCGCGTTTACCTTGCCAGACTTGAGAACCGACACAATTACCTGAAGAATCCACGCTTTTTCCCACCAAATACTCTTAATGGAGGAAAATCTCTTATTTTTCATCAGAAGAAGGTAGATCGAATGATAACAGGAAGAAAAGTGGCATTTGATGAAAGGTACATACCTTGACTCTTGACTCAGACCCTGATCCTGCAGAGAGATTTGCTTTGGAGTTATTCTGGATTTATACCAGTTTAGCCAGAACAGTATTTTCTCCTGTGTATCTTGGTTATAATCATTCAGAAATAATATCTTACGAGGTTTATGTAATTTTTGTTGTTCATGCCAGTGGATGCAATCAGGACATTCTTAGGCATAGATAAATAACTGACAGTGTAAGAGCTCACTGAATGTTTCTCAAAGTCTCTCCCATTATTTTATTTCAGTGATCCTCAATCTGTTCCTGTATTTCTAGCTACCCCGTCCGCTGTTTTGTTTTCTGAGTATGAAGTTGGTCAGGTTTATGAGGTAAGAGCTTTTTCCTCTACAGAGAATTTATTCTACCTCTGAGAAACTTGATGTCTCTCCATGACTTTCATAGTTCCCCCACCCCTACGCAGACTTCCACTAGCTAACTAAACTCTCATGAGCCTCATTTTCCTCTCTCTTTCAATCATCAGCAGAACTTCCCCCAAGGAGTATCAAGTGGGACCCTTTTCAACCTCAGGTTGCTTTTGGGTGACATGTCCTTTACTTCAGATGTTGACAGAAATGTTCAGTTTTCCCATCTACAAAATACCTACCTCCTAGGCATGTTGTGAGAATTAATTCACTGCTGTTTGCAGAGTATTATGAATATGAACAGTGGTGCATAAGTGTTATTTGGTATTATATTTTCTTTTTTAAATGAAGATGACTATAGAGCTGCAGAACATGACTTCAGTGTGTCGCCATGTAAGAGTCATCCCTCCGTCTACTTCAGCCTTTGCCATTGGACTGGGTAAGTTGCTATACTAGCTCTGAAGATGCAAAATTGTACAAGAACTAATTTGTCTACTTAAATATAATACATTGATTTTTTGTATGTCCCATCTACAATGCAATCCAGGTGGGCAGAACCTTAATCCCATAGAGTCTCATATCACTTTTTAGAGGTTAGAGGTTGTCTTACCTGTCTAGGACAGTCTACATGAAACTCCCAACAGAAGTCTGAGACTCTAGTGGTCTAATTAAAAATGAAATGTAGGGAGATCAGATTGAAACAAAAGAAATGGTATGCATAACACATCTAGACCTAGGCTATGTCTACACTACTGTGAAAAGTCGACCTACGCTACGCAACTCCAGCTACGTGAATAACGTAGCTGGAGTCTTCGTACCTTAGGTCGAGTTACCACGTGGTCTACACCACGGGGGGTTGATGGAAAAAAAATCTCCCGTCGACTTACTTTACTCTTCTAGTTGGGGGCAGAGTACAGGGATCGACTGGAGAGTGATCTGCAGTTGATTTGGCGGGTCTTTGCTAGACCCACTAAATCGACCGCCAGTGGATCGATCTCAGAGCGTCAATTCCTGCCGTAGTGTAGATCTGCCCTGAGACTGCAAAAACTCATCTAGGTCCTGATTCAGTGCCCATTGAAATCAATGTAAAGAGTCCCTTACTGCCCATTGACTTCAGAGGGAGCCATGAATGTATAAGGACTGCAGGGTCAGGCTCTCTTCTGGTCACACCATTTATGGCAAATTATCTGAGAGAGCACATATTAAGAGCTCACTATGAGCAGCTTTCAAAGGGCAGAATATAGTCATGAAATCATAGAACAACTTTTGTATTTGAAATTTTAAATCACCTGCATTTTCTTTCCTAGGAAAATTTCCAGGAGAGGGTGGAATTGTCGCTCCTGGGATGACCTGCCAGTACACCATTCAGTTTATTCCTGAATATTTAGCTGATTATGAAGATTGTATTCTAGTGGAAACGCAAGCACCATACTCTCTCCTAATCCCTATAGAAGCTAGGAGACCACCTCCTGTATTAACATGTAGGTAGAGTCAGGTCATATGCTACAAGCACTCACTAGTTTCTGTTAAGCTTTAGGTCCTTGATTTTCAAAGGGCCTTGACTGTCTCCAACTTTATGGCCCAAAGGATTGTAGAGCAATGTTGCAGGTGCATTTCATACCACTTAGGTGTCTAACTGTCTGATTTACATGCATAATCTGATTAATAGGCATTTAAATGCTGTAAAATATTCCTTTAATTATTTGTATCTGCCAAATTGTGCCAACAGTTATTCTCAGGGTGCAGAGTCAGAGGCCCAAAAATCAGAAGGCACTTTTCAAGCTCAGATTCTATATATTTGCTATGTCCTCGATTGTTAAACATTAAATATCTAGGGTGCTGTTTACTGCAAAACTCTCCTCTGAAAATATCTAGCCCAGCCTGTAACATCTCAAATCTCAATCTCAATCTCAACTGGCATAAATCTGCATAGCTCCATGGAGTTATGCCTATTTATACCAGCTGAAGATGTGCTGTTTTTGTTAGCCCTCAGTGATTTACTTTCCCCCAGCACAAAGCTCTTTTACAAAATCTTCTTTATTGTTATCAAAGTTTGATACAATCCTTAAGTACTTGGAGCTGGAAGCATCATTTAATATGGGAGAGTTATAGCAAGTCACAGCTCAAACTGCTACACCTTTAAAGTAACCATTTAAAGTGTTTAGCATCTTTAGAGTCTTAATAATTCATATTCAATAAGTCCATGTTTAAAGAGTAATTGATTAAATAACTATTTTTCCTGCGGTTAGCCTTCACTACATGTGTATTTTCCTTTGCTGCATTGTTTGTTGCAGTGCCTCGCATCATCGATTGTGGTTCCTGCCTTGTGGGGGGAGTAAAAATGACAGAATTGGTGTGCAGAAATGAAGGGTCCAGTAATGGAAAGTTCTGTATAATGCCAAAGAAAGTATGGCCACCTCCTAATTTCAGGGTAAGAGATTGGGAGGAACCATTGGACACAGTTTAGGTATCTCAAAGTATAAAGAGCTTGTGGGCCATGACAATCAGCAGGGTTGGCCTGAGGTCATACATGCTCCTCTGTAAACTTCAAAAAAGGCCCCTTGTATCTGCCACTTGATTGTGACAACAGCACCATTCCTGCCCTCTGCTCCCCCCCAGGTAACCCAGAAAACCGTGAGGATTTTCTTTCAATTAAGCAATGGTATTTACCTTTGAGATTTATTAAAGAAGAAGAATTATATGGAAAGAAAAAACTTTGTGTCACAGGATGTCACCTATTCTAAATAGCTGGCTACAAAAACCCGACATGATCAATTTATTTTGTTTTATTCTTTTCACTTCAAGGCTGTTGCAACTATTGGTTTTGTGGAGCAAGGTCCATTTGGGATCCGACCTGCTGTTTTTGAGCTAGGTCCAGATCAAGCTATGCTATTAGAGGTCAGTAATTAGTGTTTAATATTTTGTACTTTACCAAATATATGAGCAATATAGGCCATTTTAGAAACCCAGACCAGCAGGGCCATCCCTAGCTATTCTGGGGCCCTATGCAGCCCCCCCCCTCCCCCCGAGGTGGGGGAAGTATGGGGCTCCATACCTCTGTTGGGGGGGGAGGCTGACCCCAGACCTCTGCCGGGGGGGTGGGGAGGGCGGAGCTGGCTTGGGGGGCAGGGGAGAACTGCCACCCAGCACTCACTGGTGGTGTGGCTGGGGCTGGGGAGTGCAGGCCCAGCCCTGCTGCAGTCCTCAGGAGTGGGGGTGGAGCAGGGGCGGGGGCTTTGGGGAAGGGATGGAGTGGGGGCGGGGCTGGGGCAGAGCAGGGGCGGGGGCTTTTGAGGAGGGGGTGGAGTGGGGGTGGGGCTGGGGCGGGAAGAGGCAGAGCAGGGGCTGGAGCAGCACGCAGCTGTGCAGAGCACCAGGAATTTTGGTGCCCCAAATTTCTTGGTGCCCTACGCAGCTGCGTACTTTGAGTACGGGTAGGGTCGGCCCTGCAGACCAGTTAGGGGTTGTGTCACTGCCTGCCCTGTAGCCTTGGCTGCTTCTGTGCTGTGCAGCTTTGGCTCAGAGTCCTGACACCAGCAGCCTGCTTACAGCACAATGGCCTCCTCCTGGCTTCCAGCAGCCCGGTTACTCCTTCCAGGGTGACACCCACAGCCCTTCCAGTCCCAAGTCTACCTAAAACCATCTCCTCTGCAATGCGCAGCCCCTCTCACTGTAGCACTAACAAAACCTTATCAAGTCGCTGCTCCTTTAAAGAGGCAGTACACAGTACCAACCTGTAAGTTTCGCTGAGGATTTTACTCTTCAGTTTGAAACACTGCACTTTGATGGTTGTGTAATAAAAGAAGATTATTTATTAACAAAGAACAGATCTTTAAGTGATACCAAGTAAGGAATTGAGATAGAAATGGTTACAAATAAACAAACGTAAAAATACACTTCTAAGACTAAAACCTAACTCAACAAACTAGAGTCTTCTGTTCAAAGTAGATTTCTCACCACAGTTGTTCTTTCAGCATGGCTGGCCAGTCTTTAGGCAAGGTCCAACAGAGCCCAAGCTCTTGATTTCTTTGTCTCCTCAGGTGAAGTGTGCCAAATTGGCTTTCTCTCTCTGCTTATATCCTCAAAGTTTATCTTTGTTTTCAAAGTCAAGAAGCCCTCCTGTATCCACCATGGAGTTGATGCCACGCTAATTTTTATAGTCTCCACCACCATCATGATAGTTAAATGGTTATCTCCCCCACTCATTAATTTGATGCCTTTGTTTATCTTTTGTGTAAATATACTTCTGTAATCTTTCTCTTTGCTCAGTTTACATTGGAGACACATTCAAGCAGGTGCGACAATATTCCTTTGTCTAGGGCAGGATGATTTAAGTCCTATCTGCCAAACATATTTTAAGAACATATTTCCAGCCCATATTTATAATTTTTCATATATCACCCGCACATACACCATGCCTCTTGGAGGTCTCCCATGCATAGGAAGAATGCACTCACTAAGCCACCCATGAGGAGGCTGTCGTGTACACTCCTTTCCTTCATGTATGTGGACAGTGGTGAGGGGAGTGGTGCCATGGCCCTATCACCTTTTTATGCCTTTGAGGAGGCTTGTACTCCAGGAGGTGCTAGTGAGTAGCATTTGAGAGCATAGGGACTGCAATTATGGGTGCTTGTAAGGGGAGAAGACTCCTATGCCCTTCCAGCTCTGCTCACATATCCAGGGGACAAGCCCAGTCTGACCCTAATCAAGGGATCCTGTCTGAAGCCATAGACAACAACAGTTTGAGATCACAGGAGTATATCCCTTACTGTAATGGAGAGAGTCAAATCCAAGAAAGCACTTTCCTTCACAGATTGCCTTGGGAAGGTAGGGCAATCTCTCCTCCTCTTTCCTTTTGGAGCATAAATTCCTTTGTTGCATGCCTGCAGACGCTTATGCTCCATTTTGGATGATGGTTGTGCTCTTTTCGAAGAGGGACTCTCCAATTATTATATAGATCTTGCTCATACTACTGTTTTCTTTGTTGTCCTTTCACGTTTTCTCAGATCCAGATTACACAGAGATCTTCTGCAGAGTGCTGATTGGTTGAAGAATGCACAGGGATGGGTGAATAACATTGGTAGTGATCTCTGCATTGCTATCCACACTCTTTTGTAGTATATTTAAGACTTGATTCTGCCCTCATTTACATTGGTGGAACACCAGTGAATTCAGAAGACCTACTCTTGATTTAACTCAAAGTAACTGAGAGCAGACTCTCAACATTAGAGACTTTTTATGAAATATGTAAGGTTTTATAATTGATTAATTGATCGCTAGAGTTTTTCTGTAATGAACATCTCTGTATAGAAGTCTAAGAATTCTGTGAAATTAGTTATGAGCACTGCTATTGCATTGTGTGTAATCTTCTCTTTTAGGTAGTGTTTTCCCCATCTTCTCCTGAAAACCTGAAGCAAACATTCACTATTGTTTGTGATAATTGCCAGATCAATGACATCACAGTTACAGGTTTGTTTCTAACATGTTTTGAGATATTTTATAAAGCTGAAAGTACAAGATGATGTAAACATTTTTAAATCAATGGCTTAATCAGCGTTTGCAAAGCATTTTGAAGATGTTAACGTCTATGTATGTTGTTATTGTTACATTATCCTACTAAATGAAACATTTGGAATCCCAACTGCATTAGAAACATACCTCTTAACTTGATGTGTGACGCTGGCCTTTAAACTATGTGCGAAAGTTCTATAATGAATCATAGAATCATAGAAGATTAGGGTTGGAAGAGACCTCAGGAGGTCATCTAGTCCAATCCCCTGCTCAAAGCAGGACCAACACCAACTAAATCATCCCAGCCAGGGCTTTGTCAAGTCGGGCCTTAAAAACGTTTAAGGATGGAGATTCCACCACCTCCCTAGGTAACCCATTCCAGTGCTTCACGACCCTCCTAGTGAAATAGTGTTCCCTAATATCCAACCTAGACCTTCCCCACTGCAACTTGAGACCATTGCTCCTTGTTCTGTCATCTGCCACCACTGAGAACAGCCTAGCTCCATCCTCTTTGGAACCCCCCTTCAGGTAGTTGAAGGCTGCTACCAAATCCCCCCTCACTCTTCTCTTCTGCAGACTAAATAACCCCAGTTCCCTCAGCCTCTCCTCATAAGTCATGTTTCCCAGCCCCCTAATCATTTTCGTTGCCCTCCGCTGGACTCTCTCCAATTTGTCCACAACATTTCTGTAGTGGGGGGCCCAAAACTGGACGCAGTACTCCAGATGTGGCCTCACCAGTGCCGAATAGAGGAGGATAATCACTTCGTTCAATCTGCTGACAATGCTCCTACTAATGCAGCTCAATATGCCGTTAGCCTTCTTGGCAACAAAGGCACTCTGTTGACCCATATCCAGTTTCTCGTCCACTGTAATCCCCAGATCTTTTTCTGCAGAACTGCTGCTTAGCCAGTCGGTCCCCAGCCTGTAGCAGTGCATGGGATTCTTCCTTCCTAAGTGCAGGACTCTGCGCTTGTCCTTGTTGAACCTCATCAGATTTCTTTTGGCCCAATCCTCCAATTTGTTTAGGTCACTGTGGACCCTATCCCTATCCTCCAGCTTATCTACCTCTCCCCGTATCTTAGTATCATCTGTGAACTTGCTGAGGGTAAAATCCATCCCATCATCCAGATGATTAATGAAGATGTTGAAAAGGACCAAACCCTGGGGCACTCCCCTTGATACTGGCTTCCAATTAGACATCGAGCCATTGATCACTACCCGTTGAGCCCGACAATCTAGCCAGCTTTCTATCCACCTTATAGTCCATTCATCCAGCCCGTACTTCTTTAACTTGCTGGCAAGAATACTGTGGGAGACTGTATCAAAAGCTTTGCTAAAGTCAAGGTGTATCACGTCCATCGCTTTCCCCATATCCACAGAGCCAGTTATCTCATCATAGAAGGCAATCAGGTTGGTCAGGCATGACTTGCCCTTGTTGAAACCACGTTGACTGTTTCTGATCATCTTCCTCTCCTCTAAATGCTTCAAAATGGATTCCTTGAGGACCTACTCCATGATTTTTTCTGGGGACTGAGGTGAGGCTGACCAGTCTATAGTTCCCCAGATTCTCCTTTTACCGTTTTTTCAGATGGGCACATCAACCAACTCCCTCCGCACCCTCAGATGCATTGCATCCAGCCCCATGGACTTGTGCATGTCCAACTTTTCTAAATAGTCCTTAACCTGTTCTTTCACCCCTGAGGGCTGCTCACCTCCTCCCCATACTGTGCAGCCCAGTGCAGCAGTCTGGGGGCTGACCTTGTCTGTGAAGACCAAGGCAAAAAAAGCATTGAGTGCTTCAGCTTTTTCCACATCATCTGTCACTAAGTTGCCTCCCCCATTCAGTAAGGGTCCTACACTTTCCTTGACCACCTTCTTGTTGCTAACATACCTGTAGAAACCCTTCTTGTTACCCTTCACATTCCTTGCTAGCTGCAACTCGAATTGTGCTTTGGCCTTTCTGATTACACCCCTGCATGCTCGAGCAATATTTGTATACTCCTCCCTAGTCATCTGTCCAAGTTTCCACTTCTTGTAAGCTTCCTTTTCGTGTTTAAGCTAACCGAAGATTTCTCTGTTAAGCCAAGCTGGTCGCCTGCCATATTTGCTATTCTTTCTGCACATCAGGATGGTTTGTTCCTGTGCCCTCAATAAGGCTTCTTTAAAATACAGCCAGCTCTCCTGGATTCCTTTCCTCCTCATATTAGCCTCTCAGGGGATCCTGCCCATCAGTTCCCTGAGGGAGTCAAAGTCTGCTTTTCTGAAGTTCAGGGTCTGTATTCTACTGCTCTCCTTTCTTCCTTTTGTCAGGATCCTGAACTAGACCATCTCATGGTCACTGCTGCCCAGGTTGCCACCCACTTCTACTTCCCCTACCAATTCTTCCCTGTTTGTGAGCACCAGGTCAAGAGGAGCACGGCCCCAGTTGGTTCCTCCAGTACTTGCACCAGGAAGTTGTCTCCAACACTCTCCAAAAACTTCTTGGATTGTCTGTGCACTGCTGTATTGCTTCTTCACACAGTGCACAGTCAACCTGTGGAATTCCTTGCCTGTGGAGGTTGTGAAGGCTAGGACTATAACAGGGTTTAAAAGAGAACTTGATAAATTCATGGAGGTTAAGTCCATTAATGGCTATTAGACAGGAATAAGGAATGGTGTCCCTAGCCTCTGTTTGTCAGAGGGTGGAGATGGAAGGCAGGAGAGAGATCACTTGATCATTACCTGTTAGGTTCACTCCCTCTGGGGCACCTGGCATTGGCCACTGTCGGCAGACAGGATATTGGGCTGGGTGGACCTTTGGTCTGACCCAGTATGGCCATTCTTATGTTCTCCCAGCAGATGTCAGGGTGATTGAAGTCCCCCATGAGAACCAGGGCCTGTGATCTGGAAACTTCTGTTAGTTGTCCGAAGAAAGCCTTGTCGACCTCATCCTCCTGGTCTGGTGGTCTATAGTCAGGGCCGGCTCCAGGCACCAGCCCAGGAAGCAGGTGCTTGGGACGGCTAAGGGGAAGGGGCGGCACGTCAGGCTGTTCGGCGGCAATTCGGCAGCGGATCCCTCTGGGAGAGAAGCACCTGCCGCCGAATTCCTGCCGAAGAAGAAAACGGCGCAGTGGAGCTGCCTCTGGAGTGCTGCCGATCGCAATTGCGGCTATTTTTTTTTTTTCCCGCCGCTTGGGGCAGCAAAAACCCTGGAGCAGGTCCTGTTTATAGTAGACACCCACCACGACATCATCCTTGTTGCTCTCGCCTCTAAACTTAATCCAAAGACTCTCAACAGGCTTTTCTCCAGTTTCATACTAGAGCTGTGAGCAATCATACTGTTCTCTTACATACAGTGCAACTCCTCCACCCTTTTTCCCCTGACTGTCTTTCCTGAATAGTTTATACCCATCCATGATAGTGGTTATGTGAGTTACCCTACCAAGTCTCTGTTATTCCAATCACATCATAGTTCCTTGACTGTGCCAGGACTTCCACTTCTTCCTGCTTGTTTCCAAAGCTTCTGGTGTTTGTGTACAGGCACCCAAGATAACTAGCCGATTGCCCTACTTTCTCAGTATGAATCAGGGGGCCAATGAGGGGAATAAGCAAGGGAGAAAACTTAAAATAATGTGTGATTCATTCCATTGGCCTTATACCATTTTGCATTGACTCAAGATTTGATATTTATGATATCAGTAATATACGGTGACAAACTGTAAAATCCAGTTTTTGTGGGAAAGATGTGCATTTGGGTTTGAAACGTGTTGTGCATACCCAGTCTTAAGCTATGTAGGTAATTATGTTATGTTTGCTAAGCTAATTTAACCTTTTGATTTTTAACCTAAATGCTTTTCTTACCAAGGGCTTGTAAATACACCTCAACCCCGTTATAACGCGACCCGATATAACACGAATTTGGATATAACACGGTAAAGCAGCGCTCCGGGGGGGCAGGGCTGCGCACTGCAGCAGATCAAAGCAAGTTCAATATAACACGGTTTCACCTATAACGTGCTAAGATTTTTTGGCTCCCGAGGCAGCGTTATATCGGGGTAGAGGTGTACTTAAGAAATTATATATAATTTCCAGGCTGCCTAATAATTTTATTGAAAAATTTGCAGCAGTGCAAAGGTTTTTACTATTTGCTGTAGTTGTTCATATACAACTCTTTTTTAATTGGTTATTTCCTGTGATAAAGATTGGGGGTCAGATTCTCAACTGAACTCTCATAGCTTAATTGACTTCAGAGGAACTATGCCAGTTTACACCAAATCATATCAGTTTGTACTAGCTGATGAGCTGGCCTTGCAACCCCAAAATGTGTTAAATTCATAAGGAAAATATCTGTATATATTGGTGTAGATTGGCAGTGAAATGATGTCATGAAGGTACTGTAGTCTTAGCATGTTGGAGCGCAGAAAGTTGAGGAAAACCCAGATTTATCAGCAGTGTCTATTGCTATAGGTATGGTCATAAATAAGCAAGCAGTGTGAATAAACTTAACTGCCATATGGTAAACAGCGATTCTTATTTATTTTCTTGCAGGGAGTGGACAGCTGATAGCTTTAGAGCTTTTATCTGTCACTGGTGGAGAAAGCCACCCAGCCCCTGGTGAGCCTACAGACATAGCAGCACAGCACCTCATATGTTTTGACCCCCAAAATCCACATGCCACAACAGAGAAGAAACTCCTTATAAGAAATTCTACGTATGTAGCTCCTAGTAATATTATAATAGCACGTTAGGACTGTAGAGTGTTGATTTATGACCTAATATGTGTTACACTATTCTGTCAGATTGTGACAGCAAGAATCCCCCGGGTTGGGAAATATTCATGCAATTAATCAGCAATATGGATAAATGTTATTCTTGTTTGCAATAGCAGCCCTGGGCACTATATATATATATATATATATATATATATATCAGAGTGCTAAAGGCAGCCACAGATCACACTCCTGACTGAATGGCTGATCTGCTGCCATATTTTGATACATTGTCAGCTCTTTATACTGTATCCCCCCAGCCCCAGAAGATTTGTAAATGGGGGAGTTGGGGACAAAATGTCCTTAGTGGAAACACCTACATCCTAATAGATTAAATTATAAACTCTGTTTGGGATAAGGACCACATCTTAAAGTGCATTTATATTGTGCCTAGTACAGTGGGACCCAGATCCTGATTGGGACCACTGGGCATTGCAGTAACACTAATAATAATAATAAGAAGAAGAAGAAGTGGAATATCTCTGATAACTGAAGTTAGGGGTTTGCAAATAACCAAAGCATCAACGAGCCAGATACTTACCTTGATTACATTAATGTAAATCCTTAATGACTGTATTGACTTTACTGGAGTGCAGAACCTGACATGGAAACTTTACAGACAAAATGAAAAGTGACAGAGAATTTTGTGTTTGGATTATAACCGACAGGTCAGATTCTCAACTAAGGTAAATTGGCAGAGCTCCATTGCTATTGTGATTCCCACCCGTTGAGGATCCAGCATCATATTTTCTGTACATTTAAACTGCACTGGCATGGTCACTGCATTTTTATTGTAAAGCATTTGTATGAAACAAATCTGTACTTTATGAAACAAACTCACATACAATGCAGTAGTAAACAGGTGACTATCAAGAATAGTTTTATAGTTTCTGTCATACCAGGCAGTATAAAAATTGCATTTGTTCTTTTAGTTTCACCTCATTTGCACTCAGAAATTAAAATATCAGCTTCCTGACATACCTATTGTGTAGTGTGAGGTTTTAGATGTCACAGTGAAGTGGATTTTAAAGCCTACTAAATTATACAAAATTCCCCATGAAGCAACTCAATTAAGCAAACATTCTTATTGACTGCATTCTAGTTAATTGGCATGATTGGCTAACAGTGCATAGTCTAAGCCTGACCTCATTTTACAACTAAATATAGAAACCTGCCTACATAATAACTAGTGGTACAGTCCAAACCCACTGACGTCAATAGGAGTGTTTCCATTGATTTCAGTGGGCTTTGGATGAAATTCCAGAAAGGGAAAAGTTTGTCAGCAAAGGCTACTTCTGTCACCTAAATGCTGCACTTCATTATAGGTTAAGAAGGCTAGAATCATAGAAATGTAGGGGTGGAAGGGATCTTAAAATGTCATTTAATCCATCCTCCTGTGCTGAGGCAGAATTGAGTATACTTAGACCACCCCTGGTAGGTGTTTGTCTAACCTGTTCTTAAAAGCCTCCAATGATGGGGATTCCACAACCTCCCTTATTAACTTATTCTAGCACTTAACTATTCTTATAGTTAGAAAGCTTTTCCTACTATCTAACCTCAATCTCCCTTGCAGCAGATTAAGCTCATTAGTTCTTGTCCTACCTTCAATGGACATGGAGAACTATTGATCACAGTCCTCTTTATAACAGCCCTTAACATATCTGAAGACTGTTATCAGGTCCCTTCTCGGTTTTCTTTTCTCAAGACTCAACACAGCCAGTTTTTCAACATTTCCTCATAGGTCAAGTTTTCTAAACCTTTTATGATTTTTGTTGCTCTTCTCTGGTCTCTCTCCAGTTTGTCCACATCTTGTGCTAATAGCTCTTCCATACTTACATAGTTTATCATGGCTTCCTTGTATTGTTATACTGTAACAATCTTCCTACACAACTCTATCAGTTTTGTGACTAGTAGAGATTTTCTTATGATCTTTAAGGAAAAGGATATTGTGGACTGTGGTACAATTTTATACTATGATCTTACCGAAAAAATCTATCGAAATATTTGGTACTATAGTCTTTTTCTGTTTCTTAATCTATTTCCAGTCATGTGGAACTTCCTTTCTACTGGCAGATAATGAAGCCTAATCTGCAACCATTAATGCCTGAAGAAACTGGGGACCTTGCAAAGGTCAAGTACCACCTAGATGTAGAGTCAGCTTTCTCTCTAAATCCTAACCTGGGAATTCTGCAGCCCCACGCTGATCACGAGTTTATTCTCACTTATGCTCCACAGGAGGTACGCGTCGAGATTTCTTATTTCCTATAAATTCCAGCTGTGTATTTTTATGCAAGTCATAAAATCCTTGCAGTAGAGCTTTTTGAATTAAGTTTAATCAACTGTTGTGATGCTGTGACACACAATATTAAAAATCTACGGCGTTATTAAAGAAAAATATGTTTTGGTTGCAAAATATTGAACCTGATTCTGATCTCAATTTTATACTGATTCAGCTCCATTAACTTCATCTGAGATGCTCCGGATTTACAGTGGTATCAGAGCAGAATTGGCTTAGTATATTTAAAAAGACTTGATCAAAACAGATTACAGGGTTCAGAGTTGGGGGTACTCCGATACTATAGTGATTAGGATCACATAACTGCCTAAACAGGAGTGGAATTTATTGTGGTTTAAGAAAGATCTTGATACAGGTTAATAGAAAACTGAATTAATAATATTTCATTAGTGAAAACATAAAATGACACATATTACATTATTCAGATTACTGGTATTTATAAATAAGTGAGCTCTTTGTAACACATTACAGTATTAAGGTCCAACTGTATGTCATTCCTTCACACTATTAGCGTAAAAGAGGAGCCATCTTCAAGTTTAGTACTGCCAACAGGTACAACAGTGCTTCTTTTTCAAGCAGTTTGGGGTTTGATGACCTCTGAATTTTTATATTAGTGGGATAGATAGACAAATACTTCACCTGTTAAGGCATTAAAGTAATTTTATTCTTGATTTAGGGAAATCTTGCAGATATTTGTCTACAGTATGTAATATACCAGGGGAAATGATAAGATATGTTAAGGAAAAAGTCTGAATTACAGTAGAATCTCAGAGTTACGATCACCAAAGTTACGAACTGACCGGTCAACCACACATACCTCATTTGGAACCGGAAGTATCCAATCAGGCAGCAGCAGAAACAAAAAATACTGTACAGTACTGTGTTAAATGTAAACTACTAAAAAATAAAGGGAAAGTTTTAAAAAAAAGATTTGACAAGGTAAGGAAACTGTTTCTGTGCTTGTTTCATTTACATTAAGATGGTTAAAAGCAGCATTTTTCTTCTGCATAGTAAAGTTTCAAAGCTGTATTAAGTCAATGTTCGGTTGTAAACTTTTGAAAGAACAACCATGACGTTTTGTTCAGAGTTACGAACATTTCAGAATTACGAACAACCTCCATTCCCGAGGTGTTTGTAACTCTGAGGTTCTACTGTAATGAGTATTTTTCTTGTAACAATGCAATATAGTTGTAGTCCTTTACCTTTTAATTATAGATTATTTTGCATCCATTTTTCCCCATTTTAAATGTTCTTGATTTTGTGGGAGGGGTGATGGATACCTCAGCATAACTGATTTATGTTGTGTCCTCTTTCATATAGCTGAAAGATTATCACAGTGTGATTCAAATTGTACTGAGGGACATCCCAGAGCCACCTAGGTAAGCTGAAAAGCAGTACTGACATGCAACAGACATATAATAATGTAACTAAATTATTAGCATTAAGTTTATTGGTGGTTGTTTATTTCTCTAGTGATTGTAATGCTTGTGAAAGGTCCTGGATTGACAATGCTAAATAATTTATTCACAGAATAGATAGTAGCACAGACAGCATCATTGCAGGCTTTTCCACATGCTTTAATACTTCCCAGAGGGACCACCTATGTGGGCAAGAGGTAATTCAGTCTCCAGGCCCATTCATTCCGTGGCCTTTCTGCCGAGCCTATCAACAAGTTTGCCAATTATTGCCAGTTGTCATAGTGGTCTTTGTGGTATGGATACTTGCCACTAGAAATTGAACTGGGATGACTAAACTCGTTTCATATAGACCAATGAACAGCACCAGATGTTTACAGTTTTCATGCACCAACCAGGATTGAATTCAGACCTACAGCCAAGAGGTTTTAACTGCCATTGCCATCTCTGTATTTATTCAGACTCCTTACTTTATTGATTAATCACTTTAGGATTGCATATTACATTATTTCTTGCTAATGATTTAGTAAACAACAAGCCAAGTTTGAACTTTCTACCTTCACCCTTTTCTGAATTATCTATTTGCAAAGATGCCCATCAGAATATATGGGGAAGAACGATTATATTTTCCACATTTGCATAATTCAAAAAAAGATCAGCCAAAAAATATTCATTGCCAGGGTTGAGGCCTATCATGGAAAACTTCCTTTCAAACACAGTTTGTTTGAGAAGATTATGAGCAATTGCAAAAAAGGCCTGTTATGGGAATTCGCAGTAGTAAAGTTTAGCTGTAGTGCACACTGTGCTCACGCATCAATAACACTCTGTATTTGTACTGCACTTTTCATCAATGGAGCTCAAAGTGCTCTACAAACATTAATTCTCACAACATCTCTATAAGGAAGGGAATGGTGTTATCATGATTATTAGCTGAGGCGCAAAAGGTTAAGGTCCAAAATTCCACAAGTGGCCTGTAATTTTAGGTGCTTTAATTTTTAAGTATTCAGTTTTAGACACCTGATGTTCAGAGGTGGTGAGCACCTTCAACTTCAGCTGAAGTCAGTGGGCGCTAGGTGTGCTCAATACTCCCAGTGTCCTACTCTAACCACTAGATACCCTGGGTCTGATTCGCCTCTCATTCCAGTTTTACTTCATGGCTTTAATAAAGTTACAGCTGATTCACACCAGTGTAAGTTAAAGGCAAATCAATCCCCTATATCACACTAGATTAGATCAGATCATATATAAATGCAAAATCTGCTCAGTAATTCTGATGATTTCCTCACACAGCTCAGAAAAGCAGGTGATGCTAGGAAATTCAGAATCCAAAACTGATGATGTGATTGCACTGGAAATAGAAGTTAAAGGTTCAACAGAACCATTTCAACTCCTTTTGGAACCATATGTCATTATCATCCCCGGAGAAAACTTTATTGGCGTAAATGTAAAAAAAGCATTTAAGGTTTGTTTGCTTCTAACTTTATATTGTTGTTCAATGCATGTAACTAGGCACAATGGATGTTACTGGAGCACATATATTGCTATATTCTAACATTAGCTTTGGATATCCTCACTTTTCTGGGTTTAACTTTAACCCTCAATGTTGCTTTAAACTCTTGGGTTTTATGTTTTTTGTTTGTTCTTGGTTCATTTCAGGGTAGGTGCTCAGGTACTATGGTGATACAGGCCACACAAGTAACTAGATAGACCTGTCAGATCCTAAAACTGTTTATAGTTTAGCATGTTTATAGTAGATAGGTTTTGACATGAGTTCACTGTTGAAGATAAAATTGAAACAGTGCAAACACTGAAATACCTTGTTTCTAAGGCAGCACAATTGACAACATATTGGCATTTTACAGACTCCCGTGAAAGCTTAGAGTGCATTATTTAGCTCATTAATTTTTCAATTGTTTAGATGTGGAATAACAGCAAATCATCCATCAAATATACATGGGGAAAAATCAGTGTACGTGATATAGTTGAAGTTGAACCTCATACTGGAGTGTTAGGTAAAGTTTCTGTGCTTTGTAAATAATTATTAGTAGAAATATTTAAATTGTTGAGTTTTACATTAAGAAAGAAATGGTAGAGTGTGATGTTGTTAACATATGTTTGTGAAATAAGGGCCTGATCTAAAGCAGAAGTCCCATTGACTTCTAATGGCTTTGGGGATTTAGCCGTGTGTGTTTGTGTTTTAAAGGGGGGAGGAGGGGAAAGATGATGATTATGAAGAAACTGATTTTTTCTTTTCTAGACGCCAGTGAATTCTGTGAATTTGAATTGAATTTTACTGGAGGCAAACCTGGACATGCCAGCCATAACCTGCACTGTAAAATCGAACACTCTGTGGAGCCAGTTGTGCTGCATGTGGAGGCTGCTTTTAAGGTGACAACAAATACAACGTTTCAGGAGGACGGGCTGGCTGACGGAGCTGATAATGATGGGATATAATGATATATGTATATATATAGCCGTTCACCTTTTGGGTGTCTGACATTTGGTACTATCTAATGGCTGGTGAGTGGCCTATGTGAAATGAGTTGGTGATCTCAGTCCAATACCTAGAAGAAATCTCTTGTTTCATCACTAGTTAGCACTCTTATTGTAATAGGTGTACATAAACTAGAGGCTGCACACTTCGCTGCTTCTATAGGCTGAGCTCATTGCACACGTCGGGGCTCCTTGCATTCCTCCATTCCCCACCACAAGGTCCCTTTATGCTACCCTACCTTCCTCCTCTATTTCAGGGACTCCCTGTAACCCATCACCACCTACCCCATGCCAGGGGTTCTGTTTGCACCCTATCCCGTTCTCTCCATTCCAGTGTCTCCCATTCTCTCTCCCCATTACAGAGGCTCTGTATGCCCTTTCATTCCCTGCTCTGCCACATTCCAGAGTATGTGTGTTCTCCATTCCTCCCTCCCCCTATACCAGTCCCCCATTCTCCCCTCGTGATGTCAGGAGCTCTTGTGCTCCCTGTTTCAGGGTCACCCGTGCCATAGGATCTGTGTGTGACGGGTTCTCCCCGGGGTGCCCCCTGAAACTGGGTACCACTGAGCCCCCTGACCCACCACCCTGGGCTCCCTCTCACACTGTATTGCTGTGACAAGCTACAAAGCCCTCCAGCCTGCACTTTCACCAGCATACAAACAGGTAGGGACACACCCAGCTGCAGTTACAAGCACGCTCTCTGACCAGCCCCTGCATGGGAAGGCTACTCTCAGCTACTCAGGCACGCACCCTATCTGTAGTATAAACCCAAAATTATACCGTCTTGCATTGCACAGGGAACTGTACAGCATAAGCTCATAAAATTCGCCCCCTCCCTCAATGTGGAGAGGAATATGCAACAGCTTTTGTTATGCAACAGCCCCTGAGTTATGATTCCCACACACTTCACTCCAACTCACTGGTTTAGATAAAGCGAAAACAAGTTTATTAACTACAAAAGGTTAGATTTTAAGTGATTGTAAGTGATAGCAAACAGATCAAATCAGATTACCTAGCAAATAAACAAAGCCACAAACTAAATTTAATATACTAAATGGATTAGATATGAATAGCAGATTCTCACCCTAACAGATGATACAAGCAGGCTGTAGTTTAAGGAGTAAGCTGCACTTTCCTTACAGCTTGGAATTCCCAGGTGTTTCATTCACAGGCTAAAAATCCCTTTAGCCTGGGTCCAGCACTTCTCCCAGTTCAGTCTTTATTCCTCAGGTCTTTTCAGGAGTCGTTTTGTGTGGGGAGCGAAGAACACCAGATGATGTCACTACTGCCTTATATAGCTTTTGCATATGGTGGGAACCCTTTGTTCCCAAAGCTTGGTTCCCAGACCAGTCTGTGGAAAAATACTGACATCCCAAGATGGAGTCTAGAGACATGTGGTCTCATCACATGTCCTTGTACAGTCGTAGCAGCCATCGCTCATAGCCTGTTTGGAGCGTTCACAAGAAGGCTCACCAGGTGGGGGATAAGCTTCTCCTAAGGCCTATTGTTTTTTCCTAATGGCCCGTTGCTCTGAATTGGCCCTTCCAACGTATCCAAAAATGATACATGCATACAAATAGGATAATCTTGTTCAGCAAATCTTAACCTTTCCAATGACATCTCACATAACCCATCTTACATAAAATGCATCATCATTAGGCCATAATCATATAATAATATCACTGTGAAGAATATGGGTGCAGTGTCACACTGTGTATTTGTGTACCTTCCCCTGTCTTCTCATGCCAGTACCTCTGTATCCTTCCCCCCATGCCAAGATCCCTGCATTCTTCTCCCCTCCCCATGCTAGGGGCTGTGTGTATGCCCCCCATTCCCTCCCAGCATTCGTATTTCTTTTCTTTCTGTCCGTAAGATAAGTCATTCAGCATTTTACACTGTATTGGGATAATAAGGAGAACTGAAATGGGAGGTATTGGTATGCTGGAAGGTGTTAATGGTTGCCATCAACCAGTTCTTCCATCTGTCTTTGAGACAATTACAGAGGTGGCTAAAGCTGCTGTTCCGCTAACCAGATGCCAGGGGCTTCATTGTCCCCCTTTTCCTTCTTCCAATTTTCACCAGAGTCAATAGGTTTCTGCCCATTGCTGCATAAAACATTTCTGAGCATTTTGGAATTGATTAGATGTTATTGTGTTTCATACACACAAACAGATAAATGCCATCAAGTTGAGTGTAAACCAAATTTATATGGCACTGTCTATGCAAGCACCCAAACTCTTTTCAACCTTGTTCTGAGGGAACAGAGACAGGACCCAGGGTTGAGACTCTTATGAATAATTATTAATTTTTCTAGGGTGTAGGCAGTGCGCTGAGATAGTCCTAGAGTTGAAGTACAAGGCTAGATTTTCAAGGGGATAAAGTTTTTAAAGGGCCTGCCTCCTTTTTGTGCCTACAGTTTGTACCCCTCAAATAAACGGTGAAGAGAAATCTGAGTAATCCAGTTTATGCCCACAATTAGATAGGTAGAGCACATTTGAGTTTTGGGTGCAGTTTCTGCCTGCAGTTCATTTTTGCAGGTCCAAATTTTGTGGTTGCAAATTGCTGCTACAGACAGGTAGGCTGGGCCTTCTAGAAGTCTGGCCCACAGTGTAGGGAAGATACAGGTTAAGGCAGTATGGCCAGGCTTCCTCAGCTGCTCCCTGTGCTGTATATGTTCTTTGCAGAAAGAGCCTAATCAAAACCCCCCAAAGACTCCCATTGACTTTAGTGGGCTTTGGATCAGGCCCCAAAAGAGGATTTCCGTCTAGGGTTATCAGAAGCCTTTTCAGGAATACTAAATTCACATAAAAGTACTGGCATGAATGTGACACTTTGGGGGGTTCACCCAGAGAGTAACGACTCTGTTACCACCTGTCCTGTAACCCTAAGTGCTTCTGTACTGTGCAGTTTTGGCTGAGAGCCCTGACACCAGCAGCATGCTCACTGCACAATGGCCTCAGCCTGGTTACTCCTTGCAGGATAACACCAACAGCTCTTCCAGTCCCAAGTCTCCCCAAAACAGTCTTACCTGCAGTATCCAGTACCTCTCACTGCACACTGACAGAGGTTATTAAGTTTGCTGCCTCCAAAGAGACAGAACACGCATCATCCTGTTAGTTTAACTGAGAACTTCACCCTTCAGATTAATACACAGCACTGAGATGGATTGTTTATTAAAAAGAACATATTTAAATGATAATAATTAAGAATAGAAGACACAGATGTGGTTACAAATGAAACAAAACACACTTTCTAGTGACTAAAACTTAACTTCAGCAAGTTACAATTTTGTCTAAGCAGGTTTCTCACCAATAGTCATTTCCAGCTACTCTTGGTTTGCAGGCCAAGAGGATCCACTCTTCATGAGCTCAAAAGGTGTGGCTTCCCCTTTGTCTGCCAGGTGATGGATGCCAAACTGGCATTCTCTTTCTGCTTATATTTACCAAAGTCTACTGTCACTCTTTCAAGAGCCAGGAAGGCTGCATCATAATCATTAAGTTGTCTCCTCGCCTCCCGTGCATTTAGCTTGATGGCTTTGTTTATCTTATATGTGGATGTAATCTTCATTGGTTTCTGAGGTATTACCTGGCTCAATTTACACTGGAGACACAGGAAAAGAGGCTAAACACATTCCTTTGTCTAGGACAGGACAGGCTTATGCACTGTTTGCAAAACCCCTTTTAAGAACATATGTCCGGCACACATTTATAATTCTTTATACACCACCTGTACATTCTTCATTCAATAATATTAATGACCAGCATGTTATTGGTTTGCATACCTTACATGACACCTTTTAGATACAGATTATGCCAACAGTGTTTGGGAGGAATGTGTTTGTATCAGGCTGGAGGTGAGTTATGGTAATGGGTGCCCTCTGCCAGTTAGCATTGAGGGACTCCCGGGCCACAATGAAATCTCAGTGTAGTGAGATGTATTAATCAGAAGAAGGATATTTTCTTGGTGATTTTATGATCTCTTCTGTATTAGAAACTGAACCTTTGCTTTCTGTTCTAAGTTAACGTAAACACAAATCTTAGCTAATTTATGCTTTTTAATCAGGCAATTTCGGTATTGATATCCATTTTAATATATATTTCTTGGTGTCCTAGGGTCCAGCTCTCTCTATCGATGTTCCATCACTCCATTTAGGTTTGATTAAATTGGGACAAAATGTGTTAAGTACCTTTGAGATTCAAAACCTAAGTCAATTGCCAGCATGGTGGAGAATGCAAGAAAGTCAAGCTTGCTTAGCTGAAAGGAACGAAGATGTAAGTCATTCCAAGAGGTTCTTTATAAAAGTGGTTATATAGTTCTGTAAAACCCTGCCCAGAGCCAGCTACGCTATCTTCTTTATCATTTGTGTCTCAGTTCCCGAGGCACTAAATTTCATCTCCCAAATCAGAAAAGTAATTTTCAGTTTTCTTATGATGATGAACAAACTGATTTTTGCACATCAAGAAAGTACAGCACAAGTTTTATTAAGTGCAATAATGTTTAGCCATTTTTCTTTGTTTCTATTTATAATGTGCCTAGCACAGATTCCCTGCTGGCCTAATTCTGTGATATGCTGAGCATGTTCTCAGGGGTAGTGAATGACCTCAACTTCCATTGCTGTTAATAGGAGCCTCCTGGGAGGATATCAGCACCTTGCAAGTTTGGGCATTATGGTTATTAAACAATACATTTGAAAAAGTGCAAATTTGTCACAAAAACAACTATAAAACTTCATGCCCAACAAAATACCAAAAATATTGTTTATGATCACCTAGAATGTTATCTGTCAAATATATTCCATCCATATTCTTGACCCCATTGTTTGTCTAGGAAATCTGTCTTCTTAGATCAGGGGTTCTCAAACTGGGGGTCGGGACCCCTCAGGGGGTCGTAAAGTTATTACATGGGGGAGTCGCGAGCTGTCAGCCTCCACCCCAAACCCCACTTTTCCTCCAGCTTTTATAATGGTGTTAAATATATTTAAAAGTGTTTTTAATGTATGGGGGAGGTCGCACTCAGAGGCTTGCTATGTGAAAGGAGTCACCAGTACAAAAGTTTGAGAACCACTATCTTAGATGGTATCTATTGGCCAAGAACTGGCTTAGACATGGTTTAAAATGATGGTCACGCTAATGTTCTTGTATACCTGTCCCCAGTGCCAGATTTATCTGCCCTGCTCCACAGAATATTTTTGGCACTGTTAATCTTGGTACATTCATAGCTCCCTGTTTATAACAGCTATTATGAACAGGAAGGTATATCTCTGCCACCCTCACTGAAAACCAGATTTGGTCCCATGTTCTTTCAAGGGAAAGATCTGCTGGACATAGTGATTCATGCCATTGTCATACTCTGCCTGGGATACATATTAAATCTCTTTGGAGCTTGATGCTGGAAATTTGTTAAGCAAGTTGGTCCTTTGTAATCTGAGTTGGCTGCCCATGAGTTTCTGGATTAAGATGATGATGAAGATTGTCTTTGACCTATAAAGGCCTGGAACTTACTTATTTGAAAGATCATGTCTCTCTTCATACTATACAGTTGCAGTTAAAGTCAGCAGAAGCAAGATGGAGGTTTCGTGGTTTAAAAGAGAAGGGGCTGCTGTTGTCCCACAAACTTACACAGGATCGTTTTAGGGGTCAAGACAAAGATGCCACATTTATTATTAATCTGTAACTATTAGCAAATACCTTAATGCTTATACACATACACTCACACACACACACACACCAAAATGTTCTGCAGCTGCTGTATAGTTACCAGTCCTGATTGTAGTTTGAGTTCGCAGCTTGGGATCGTAGCTCGTGGCAGCTAACTGGCCAGGAAAACTGAGCACGAGGAGGAGCCGGGTCTCTGTCGGGCGCGCACCGATGCTCCTTGATGTTGATAGCAGAACCGTTACCCAAAGTTTCTTCTCTCACCCTTTCTTTTTATAGGAGTTTA